TTAAAATTAGCTTTTCAAAATAAGTACCAAATGGCAGATCCAACTACGAGTAAAGGATGTGTACAAAGAGGGAAAATGTCAAAAGCTCAAGCTACGAGAAAAAGGGACTGTTGATTGACGCCACAGGAAACAAACATACCAACTCAATTTTCTTGACCAAAGTTGATTTTATCTTCTCGTTTGAGAAGATAGCGTGAGCAGATTTGAAGATATCAGTCGAGAAGAGGCTGTAAAGGCTTTTTCATCAAGCCTATTTTTAATTTTCTTCAAATTAATGAGATTTCGACCCATTTTGGTCTTTTTAGGGTTGTCAGGAAAACTAAGGCAGATATCAAATGAAGGGCAACGCTATATTTTTCCTATTCCAAAATAGATAAAGATAAAAGTGCCAGAATCTGAAGACTGGGTAGCTAATCCTTTGTCGTGAGGAGAATTCGGAAGAAACAACTGAAAGTTTACGTAATGTGTGAACTAAAAATGCCTTCAATCAGTCTTGCATTTGTTTCATAATTGCCTCTCAACCTCAAGAGTTTCACAATTTAATCAGCCTTTGCTTTCTTTCATTGGCTTTCCTCCTGTAACAACTGCCTTTCAATCTTAAGAGTGCAATGATGATAGTTCAGTTCGTCTTTAAGCGCAATTGTAGCCATTTTATCTTGAACTTGGCTTAATGGCTTTCCTACAGTTAAACCAAGCTGTGTTTCAAATGTTAGTGGTGTAGCTTTGCGGGGAGATTTCTTCCGTGAGGTGAAGTTCTCCATGGCAGTGGTAAATTTGTTAAGCGAATTTTCCATCGCTTTGACAATTGACCTTTTGGCAGCAGCAGCGGATCTTGACTTTTCCTTATACTTGCCCTGGGGAGAAATTATGGGAAGAGTCTTTTCCTGGAATCCAAAAAATTAAATGGTTTATGCAGGTGATGCACACTTTTAACCCGTGTACATAGGGAGAGGTGGATGCCACTACCTTTCCAGCCTTCCGCTTCTTTTTCGAACAGGTGAAACCTTGTTGGGCGATGGTGTTTTTGGGGTCTTCTGCCAAATCAGGATGGGTGACGATTGAGGATGAGCCACCTGCTCTGCGCCACCACTGTTGTAAGTGCTCGATCTCTGAAATAGAACACCACATGGTAGGGTAAGGTTACCAAACATGGATCACTTTTTAAACAATCTTCTCTGGATCGAAATTAAGTATGGGTTGACTACTATTTTTGAATCTAATATAGATGTTTACCTTACTGGTCATATTGCTACCAAAAATGGTACCTCTAACTCGAATACTTTGGAAGTTGTGAGGACAAGAAAATATGGCTATTTTTGCTAAGGTTAGGTTAGGGTGGTCCAATCATGGATCACCCCACCAGCGTACGGACACAAAGCAAGGTATGCATTCAGTAGTCCCAGAATATCAAACTAGTCTGTCCAAAGTGCACGATGAAAAATTTTGAAGTGACTGCGGTGATTGCTTGGCCCAGAATCAGGGGTGCAAAAATCACCTTTTTGAACGTCATTTTTCCATCGATTTTCGGGGGCCTGTTTTAGGTGTCTTTCTAAACGCAACCCTGCAGAGTAGAGAGACGCAGTTACAAACTTGTCAGCTTCACATCGAACAGTCAAAGGGTCAGTCTAAGCAAGGAAAGACAGAAATTTAGAATCTGGTCACCTGGTCTTTAGTTATAGACCCCCAAACAGAAATGATCCATGTTTGGTACCCCGATCCATGTTCGGCACTTTACCCTACAGACGGAACAACACGTAGTAACCTGGAACATCAACTCGACTTTGAAACTGCTTACAATGGAATCCTCCCTGCCGAACAATCCAACATCTCCACCGTCTTCTTCCTCTTGAAAATGTTGCGAATGGTCATCGAGCAATTCTTTCTGTATGCCCCTCCACTTGACTGAACTACGTCAGCTGACTGTCCCCAGCCTGGCTGCCGGGCTCGCTCTTCACAATACTTGGATCTACCCGGAACCCTTGAAATTCCATGTCCCTATCATGCATGAGACACTTCCACAATTTCCTGCATGCTCTGCGCCACGTCCACGCTAGTGACCGTAGGATCACCTTCACCCTGTTAGAACATAAACAGAAACATGAACATTGAAGGTTCCGAACAGAGAGAGGGAGAGACAGATAGGTCAATGGAACTCACCACTCGCCGGCCTCCTCTGTATTTGACAATGTTTAGATTATTGGCAGCTCTGGCATTTCTGTTTCTCATGCCATCCCGCCATGATTCAGCTTGGTGTCACTACGATGTTGTGGAGCTATTCCCTTCTTAATCTTAGCCTGTTCAGTCCACCTCCACTCGTTATAGTGGCTTCTGTTCTTTGACACCCATGAACGCTGCAAATTAAAATGCAGTAGCTTGTGTGAAGTAGTAGTTCCGCCCGCCAGCATCAGGCCCTGAATCGCGCCACGAATCGTGCGAAATGTGACGGCTTGGGTACTCACCGATGAC